CATTCCTAGACAAGTTTGATAAGCTTACAAAACTCAAAAGCAAAAGAGCAAATAAAACAGGATGTGCTTTGGACTCTACCCTGGCAATACTGTGAGCATGGATTCTGAAGCAGTTGAGCACCAATTTGCCCTAAGACAGATTCCTTCCATAGTACATGCACATGTAGAGAAATGCCCAGGTCAAGATTATGAGGGGATTCTTTTCCTGAAGAATAATCTGTAAGTTCCAGATGTTTGAAAGCTTCTGCTTTCTTCAGCTCATGATGTCTGTTAGTATTTATCTTGTGGTTCATCAGCATCACTAGCCTCTGTTTCGCTGCTCTGAGAGAGATCTTGTTGGTTCTCTATTCTGTCCAGTCCCAGAAAACTAGTAATGAGTTTGGCAACTGCTTCCACATCACTGTGGAAAGGAAGAAAGAACAGAAGAGTTAGTGGAACTGTGGTGCTGACAACAAAAGGCATGCTAATTCCTGAGAACAACTGTTTGGAGGGCCAGTTAACATATGACTGACAGTGAAGGTATATTAAGCCAAGCCATTACTTCCATATCAGAACAAATTAATCCCCTTCCCACAGACGCTGCTGCAAGATTCCTTATTGTTGATGCTTTACATAAATGCTGTTCATTGATAAATACACTGAATGTTTGCAAAACAGAATTAACCCCCTCTGCCATTGCACAGCTGAGCTAGTGAAGGTAACTACAGGAGACATGCAGTACTGAAGGGATCTTAGATACCTAAATATGATGAGTATCCCAATGGGAGATGGTGCTGCCCAAATGTCTGAAACTGAAAGCATTAAAGGGTTTTAAAAAAGTTAAGCTGAATAACACAAGAACATACCAGCAAGTATGAAAACGGAGCTAGAATAAGTCTCAGTAGTACACAATTCCTGACCCGTGTGATTGGTGTTTCCCACCTTACACATACTAATTTAAAAAAAAAACACAAGAAGAAAAAAAGGCCACACCATACCTTCTACAGCCCAGCACTGCACTCTGAGTCAGGGGGTGTGCAAACCCAGTGCTAAACCTCAGCAGCACCAGATAACCCTTCCCAAAGTACCGCACCACCTCCTCCTCCACATGCACCGCTCGGATCTCAGGCAGCAGAGCCACGACTGTGAAGAGAGGTGGAAAAACAGCCTGTCAGCACACAGGGAACTCCCAGCACTGCCAGGGGTGACTCCCCTGGGACCCTGAGTGCCACTGCTTTGATCCCAAACAACCAAGGCAGTCCTGCAATAGCCAAACACTACTGAGCTATTCAGGAAGAACAAACAAGGGAAGCAAAGGGGGAAAACTACTGCATGTACCAGTGAACAAGATATTCTGCCTCCAGGAACTGGGGGACCATTAGTTTATTTCTTCTGTTTCCCACTTTAATAACAGTTCTAACTATTTTTCTGTATGGAGTAGGTAAAGAGGTGTTAAGTTCACCAGGACTGAACAAATGCTGAAAGGTTTAATTGCTCAGAGCTCCTGATCTCTGCATCTCCACATTAACAGTACCTGAAATAGGTATTACCAAGAGCTTCTCAGAAAGAGATGTGCTCAGCTCCCCAACATATAAACATACCCTAAAGAAACATTCAGAAACATTAAACATTCTTCTCTTCACATCTCTTATCTTCCATCTCCAACTGTTTAAAAAACAATTCAGCTTAAGAACATTCCAAATGTTGTCAGTTTTCTAAGCATATGGAGAGTTGGTTTGATTTAGATTAGTGAGTAGAACTAAAAAAAAAAATCTGCCATTGCAGAGGGTCCTGCTGTTTGCCCTGGAGCTCCTGGCTCAGTGCCTCAACCCAGTCACCTAATGCACTTCAGCTCCTGTTACTCCAACAGGAAGCTCAGGAGAAACAAGATACTGCACCAAGCTGAGCCTAGCAAATATGCTGCTTTCAATGCATATTCTATAGCTACAAGATACAACATGCCTGCCTGCATGATATCTAAACATTTGCCTGCTACCAAAGCAGGTAGCTTTTACCAGCCAGATCATTTTATCAAACAGATTAGATTACAGAAATCTTGACTCATGGATCCAAAATTTCAATTTTTCAGCAGTCCCACCTGCAAAGCAGGAGAGTCACAAACCCACACATCAAAATTCCAAAGGAATGGCTTAGACTATTGCAGAAAGCAATGTGTAAGCCTAGTTAGTTGATTAAAATAATTAACAAGATGCACTCAGCACCCTAATCTGAAAAAGCATTTGAGTCCTGAGAGGCAGATTATTACATATATGCTGCTTGGGAACAAAACAGATGTGGCTAATTTGGGTATAGAACTCCAGAGCAGCTTATTAAATCAGCATGTATGCATTCATTCTGTCCACCCCCCACATTTGCTACCACAGATGCTGCTTTCTCACCTTGTTCATTGCCTCCTTTTGAGAAGGTCAGTAATTTTTTGTAAAGATTGAATGTTTTTAGGCAAACTGTTCCCTTGTTCTTATCAAATACAGCTTCCTGTAACATTGAAAAATAAAGATTTTCTTACAAACAGCACCAGCAACTATGCTTCAAATACAAATAAAAGTAAAATAAAGCAAAATATTATGTAAAATAATCTTGGTAATACAGAAAAATGCACAGCTATTTTAGAGACATTCCTCTGTTACTTAAACTGTGAAAATCATCTTGCTCTTGGCTTTAACAGAGACTTTAACATCTCTCCTGTATTACTTCTAGAAGGAATTTAAAGCTGGTTTCATTGCCCCACTCAACACATTCCTAATGTAATAAAAACTCAGCCTGGAATCACATTTGAACAGTAACTTGCAGGTCCTGCAGTTTTCACTTCCAGTGCATGCATTTGGACTGCAGTACAACTACACAGCAAACATATTTCTAGCTACACTTTTCGCTAACACAGTCACTAGCTCCACCAAAATTCTGGTGTTGTTCTTTCTCCCTTTTTTATGTAAGAGGAAGAAAAGGCCACAAAACAGTTTGGGGCAAGTGTCCTCTTAAAAAAACCCACACTCTTATGTTTAGCTTCATGCTTTTATGCTTGCATAGGAAAAAAATACTGCCCAGAGAAGGGCTACAAAGGTGATCCAAGGGCTGGAGCATCACTCCTATGA